TTGGAGACAGTACAGTTTCTATTGCAATCCATGACCTTTTTACAGCCAGTGTATTTGGAAGGAAACATGGCCTTCAAACGAATTGACACATCTAGTTAGTGTTGAATGAATTTATTCAAAATAAATTCTACAATTGATGCTGAGTGCTTCTAGTTGCATTGTTGGTTTCGTGCTTGCTTTGGTATTAGACAGGTGTAATGCATCCAAAGTAGAGTCTGTGTTTTAGTCAATATGGCTGTAGCTGAGGAAGCTGTTAACTTGTCCCATATTTTGACTGGTATTTTCATATACATATAGATGTGTGTGTGTGTGTGTGTGTGTGTGTGTGTGTATAGATGCGATAAATATACATGTCTAAGTTTTGAGAATATTTGATTAGCACCTTGTTAATGTTGATGATTCATATAGAACATGTCAGTAGTGGCATTTTCCAAGTTGAGTGGAAATTCTTTTTCTGTTAACTCGTAGAAGCAGTGTTGAACAGTTGATATCTCATTTTCAGGATAAATCTATCCTAGCACACTAAAAACTTAACCTGGTTAGAGGTATTTGACTGGTGAACAGCAGTGATAGCAGCACCATAGCCAAAGTCTTGGTCCGACATGGCTCCTGGAGGCAGTGCATATGAAAATGTCTGTGAATCCCACATTGCATTCTCGGATTATAGCATTGTACCTGACAATCCAGAATTTATAAGCTCCCCTTATGGAGAAGTGGCTGCAGTTGTCAGTGGGAAGCTTAGGATGCCAACAGATTCTGCTGTGCATGACCTGCTGGAGTGTCCTGTGTGTATGAATCTAATGTACCCTCCAATTCTGCAAGTAAGTTCTGATTGGATTCTTGTGAGCAGCATTCATGTATTTTAATTCTTTGTTTCCATTGTTTACCAGTATAGCGTATAAAGTTCTTTACTGTGGAGCTTATTCTAGGATTTCAGCTGATAGACTTGTGTTGAGTAAATTTTTGTCTCAGCACTTCACAGCATTCACCACTTGTAATATGCAAAAAGCAGGATTGTGAATGGACCAAAACTATTCCACGCTTAAATACACTTTCACAAGTCTATTCTTACCCTTTTGCGGATTTGGCTTTTTATGCTTTGCTCCATATTGTAGGGTGCACAAGCAGAATTATAAGATAGGATATCATAATTTACTCTGTGCTTATATATGACTCTGTTGTAGAATAATCTATTATGTCATACTTGTTGACATTTCTACGATTTTTTTGTTTGTTTAGTGTCCAAATGGCCACACACTCTGCTCAAATTGCAAGTGTAAAGTTCGTTGTTGCCCAGTATGCCGCCGTGAGCTTGGTAACATACGGTGCTTGGCCTTGGAGAAAATTGCAGAGTCACTAGAATTGCCATGCAGATACCAGATTTTTGGTTGTCAAGATATATTCCCTTACCATAGCAGGCTTAGGCATGAGCAGCTTTGCCAATTTCGCCTGTACAACTGCCCTTATGCTGGAGCTGAATGCTCTGTCACTGGTGATATTGAATACCTTGTTGCTCATCTCAAAAATGATCACAATGTTGACATGCATGATGGATGTACCTTCAACCACCGTTATGTCAAATCCAATCCACAAGAAGTTGAAAATGCCACATGGATGTTGACGGTAAGCATTCTCCATCCATTCAAATGTCAAAATTTCTCCGAATTGTTTAGTAGGAACAAACATGAAATTTAGTTTCTCCACTGAAGAATTCCTTTTAGCGTGTTGCACACTGAACTTAATCGATAGGGCATGTTTTGTGATCTCCTGAGTATTCATCTATGTGCCTTAGAGGGCTATTGTTAATTGAAATTACAAGCTAGTCTAACATATTCATGATGTCCCCCCCCCCCCAACACCACAACCCCCCCCAAAAAAAAAAAAAAAAACCCCAAACAACCCTAGAACACCTTCCAATAAAGGAAATTCATTACATTTTCTCTATAACCGTGCTGCAAACTCCTTGCTGCTTTTTCTGTCCATTTTTTCTCTCAATCTTAATTGGCCCATTGGAAATTTTTTTGGATCATAATCCTGCAGATTCTCTCAGAAGAATCCAAATCTAAAATCTGGAGCTGTATCTTTATCCATTAAAAGAAGAGTTGAAAGAAAACAAGGTTTAGTAGTTATTTTCACAATTGGATATTCTTCTAGTAATTTAGGTTGGTTGCTTAGCTGTTTCAACAATTGCTTATTCCAAAGTATAATCTTTTCTTTGTCTGCTTTGATGGACTTGTGGTCAGAAGGTACAAAAGGTGATGGACAGCAAGGCTTTTGCTAGCTTTTCTGACGTGCCAAAATTTAAACTATTACTGAGAAATGTGCTGGATGTTGCATCCTATAAAATTTGTCCAACAGATGTGCACTTTGGTACATGCAACAATAGCAATCAATATGGAATGGTGGGTAAAATTTGTTAACACCTGCTGGATGATGTCAATTGACTTTTCTGAATGGCAATCCAAGCATTGCTTTTGCTGTATCCCCTTAAGCCTAAAATGGGGGTTTGGTGCATGAATTCTGGAATTAGGAAAATAAGAAAGAAATGTAGTTAGACAGGAGTAGATATCACGTCATAATATCAAGAACAATAAAATGGAACTAAGACCTGAAAGTTTTAATTGCTCCTGTGTTGTTAGCTTGAACTTTGTAAAGAAAAATATCCTCTAGTGGAAAAACCAGATATTTTTATTTTTCTCTATCTCCATCCCTGACAAAGTATAGATGAGAAGGGAGATGCAGCATGACATTTACATTTAATACATAGGTAGAAGTACAAATTCTTACATGGTAAGCAGCCTAGTGGGGCAAGTGACCTTTCCTCTGAATTTTTTATCTGGTACATGTTCAGGGGTGGTAAAGTCATTACTGAATAAATTTTGCATTCATGGAACAGCTACATCTTTTTATTGCAAAAGAGTGAATCATCTCTAGTGAGTGCCTGGTTTGGGGAGTGAATTTGGTAGTCAAATCTTATGGTAAGATAGTGATAACTCTTTGATAGAGGCTTGAAGTACCATAATATGATAATAAAATAGAGTAGACCATAGGAGAGAAGAAAGGAGAAAGTGAGTCTGTGTCTACTTCCTGTCTTGCATGTACTTCTGCTGCAATTCATAGGCAACAGTACATGGTTTGGTATTCATTTCAGTAGGTTTGAAGTAGCAAAAACAAGCAATTTATTTTTTGAGTAAATGAAGTTGTCACATGGAAGAGGGATATGGATTTCTTGTATCTTCTCAGGGAGAGGATCAACATCGACTTTTTCACATGATTTGGTTGTTTGTGTAGAAGTTACTGATTCAGTTGATTTTTGTCCAGGCCTAGTTGACTATATTGAACAGGAATTCTAAAATAAGTAGGATTTTTTGTTTTCTTCTGGTTGGCAGGATGAGTGGCCTACGAATGGGTTGTTTTCCTTACTATCCACATGCATAACTTTTCATGTTCACTTTCTTGCTTAGTAAACAATGTTTTCCAGCGGTTAGTACTGGAACCAATCTTTACCTTCTATAGGCTGTATAGTTATACAGATAATGCTGTTTGAACAATGGAAACTGGAACGTCCAGTGTAAACTACAGCTTGGGCTGGAGATTTGGTTAAGAACTTTTGTTGCTGCCATTTTGCTCTGTTATTGGTCGAAGATAAGCTGGTCAGAATTTTTGACCAAGTAGTCTTGGGAAGATTAAGATATTTTTATTGATCATATTACTTACCTGGTTAAACCTTCTTTTTGTCACATAAAACGCTGGCATGCTTTCTTGGAAATGATGCTTTTGAGTTATTAATACATGAGAGTCGTAGTATGCCTTTGTAAATTTAATTCTCGCAATAGTATTACATACAATCAGAGGAAAAGAAAGAATCAGATGTTTCTACGTCCTACCAAAGTGCATGCCTTTGTAAATTTAATTCCTGCAACAGTACTACATACAATCAGCGGAAAAGAAAGAATCAGGTGTTTCTGCGTCCTACCAAAGTACACAAGGTTTTCTGGACACATTAGAGGTTTGCCTGTTGATTTTATCAAATGTAAACCATGTCTTCTTTTCTTGTCTGCGCAGGTTTTTAACTGTTTTGGCCACCAATTCTGCTTGCACTTTGAGGCGTTTCATCTAGGAACAGCTCCGGTTTATATGGCCTTCCTGAGATTCATGGGCACTGATGAAGATGCAGAAAAATTTTGTTACAGTTTAGAAGTTGGTGGAAAAGGTAGAAAGCTAACATGGCAAGGTGTTCCAAGGAGCATTCGCGACAGTCATATAACAGTTCGAGACAGTTTGGATGGACTAATTATTTATAGAAGCATGGCACTCTACTTCTCGGGCGGGAATATGAAGGAGCTTAAGCTTAAAGTGTCTGGCCGTATATGGAGAAAAGACATGTAAAAAAAAAAAAAAAAAAATTCATGGTAGTGTTATGGTGTCTTCTGTTTCTTTTGGAAAAGAGTTAATGGTGATCTATGTGTTAATTTCTAGGATTGGTGGATGAATTTTGCTAGATATGTAGTTTGTATAAAGATAATGGAGGTTCTTGGATAATTTCAGTTTGATAGATTTATTCTACTCTAACTTAGAGGTGACTTTTCCTTGGTATATAAGTTCTGGAGTTTCCTAGCTCGAGGTGTCTGCTGTTTCCACCCATCCTTGGCACAAACTCAAACTACTCTAATGCTTCTTGCCTTAATATAACTACTGAATGTTGATAGGTTGAGCAGAGTCTATTCAAAAACAAGTACAAATAATCTGGAGGGGTGGTGGTTTACATCAAAATCTATAATGCCATCTTAAACAGATTTCAGGTTTAATCATTTGAAGAAATTGTATCCACTGTCAGCATTTTCGTGATCAATATGTCAAAACCTACATTGATTTGCTGTTAAAGCATCTTCATTTACGTATATGCATTACAGGCAGCAAAAAGTTCATCCTTCTAATCTTTTAAAAAATGGACTGGTCTCAGTATTCCTCTGAATCTGAATGTAAACATAAAGAAGTATTCACAATCTTCTTTGATCTAAGACAAGGATTTTCAGATTCACATTTCCCCAGTTCATCTGTTCTTCCTTAATCTCTTGAACCAGACTTCCAACATGGCCTGGACAGCGATGCACCTGAATCAATTCAAGAGTTGGAATTTCCCCCAAACAAGAAGGGAGCTCCTCCAAGTTTAAGCAGCTTTCCAAAACCAATTTCTGAAGACAGGGGAGATGATCACCGGAGCACGTCCACCTGACAATGCACAACAATTCCAATTTCAAGAATTTGAGTTTAGGGAATTCCCCTTCTTCCATGTTCCATATTTTTTCCCCACCAGCTTTTGTACCCAGTAATTTGAGAACCTCAAGATTAGGTAGGCTTCCTATTGAGGAAATCATACTCCAGGGAAATGCTTCCAGGGTCAACTTTTTTAGATTCATGGGGAAACTGAACTCATAATCCTTCTCTTTCACACGGTAAAAAGACAGCTTCAGTGACTCCAGTCGTCTCAGAAAGTCCATTGCCACAATCTTGTTCCAATCCCCACAAGATTCTTCTGTTTCCCGGAGACTACATTTCAGTTTGCGGATATTTGGAAACTTCTTCATTATCTTATCCATGCTTTGCCCCAAATCAAGCTCAAGAGCTGATATAGTGTCTAGGTTACACAAATCTGAGGAGCTGCCCAATTTGTCTTTGGCCAAACTAAGATCAAAAAACTTGCCACTTACATGGAGACACCTCAATGTCTGCATATTCCAAACAGTATCTGGGAGAAAAAGTCTACCATGCAAAGATTTTAGAATAAAAGTTTCCAAATTCCAAAGGTTTGCTATTGATGATGGGATGTAATTCATGCTACCTGCAAACGCCAAGTATCTCAACTGAACAAGCAACGTAATTTCGCCAGGAAAAACAAATCCCAGATTAATTTTTCCCAAATCCAACACTCTCAGAAGTTTGAAGATGCGAAAAATGGATGAGACATTGTATGGAGTTCCATATTCCTCGCTCTGGGTGGAGACCACTAGAGAGCTTAGAAGAGGACAAAATAGCCTTGACTTCTGAAAATGCCTTGCTTTAGAGTAAATAAACAATCGACGTGTATTACTTGGCTCATCAAACTTAGGAAGTCCTGCATCATCACGTCTCAACTTTAGAAGATTTTCTTCTGTGGCTTTTCTCAAACAAAATTCATGCAACAAGTCATGGATGCGGCAAGTTTTGACTCCACCCGTAGATTTTGGTTTGTCAACCATAACCAAGCTTCTCCCAATTAGATCCATTATGTAGTCCTCAGCTGTGTCCTCTAGGCTCTTTACCTCTGTCTTTTGGACAAAGCCTTCAGCAATCCACAACCGCATCAATCTCCAGATAGGAATCTCTTGATCTTCTCGAAATGCTCCAAAATAAAGAAGGCATGGCTTCAAATAATGAGGTACATGTTTATAGCTCAGCTCTAATATACTTTTGCAATGTTCTGTGCCAGACACGGTTTCCGAACTTAGACTTTCTGCAATTTCTTCCCAACCATCTTGCTCTAAATTTGCAAGAATCCCAGCTGTGATAACAACTGTTAGAGGTAACCCTTTACAACCTTTTGCTATATGCTTTCCATATAGAAACAGTGCTGGAGGATATCCACCTCTTTCTACCAGCTTCTTTTGTAGTAATTCTAAGCACTCGTCATCAGTAAGTTGGCGAAGATGGAGAGGTTTACTTGCAGGTTTAACTTCCAACGCCAACCTAGAAATTCGACTTGTTAAAAGAATTCTGCTTCCATTGGCATCATTTGGGAATGAAACTTTTAACGCATTCCAAGCCTCAATGTCCCAAACATCGTCCAAAACTAGGAGATACCTGTGTCCCTTTAAACAATGGTAGAGTGCTATAGCAAGATCATCAGCATCCATTCTAGAGTATTCATCAGAACGCAAAGGATCAATGCAAGCCAAAATCTGAAACAACACATCTTTCTTTCCATATACTTGAGAAATACAACACCAAGCACGAATATGGAAGTGGCATACAATCATCGGATCATGGTAAACTATATTAGCTAAAGTAGTCTTACCCAGTCCAGGCATGCCAACAATAGAAACAACGTCCAATGCTCCTGATCCTCCTGTAAGCTGACAGATTATTTGTCCTGCCTCATCATGAAATCCCACCACAACTTGATTGAATGTTGGCGAAGTCCATTGCAACTGTGAATGGGGCGTAGCCTGCGCTTCCTTTTGAGCTTCATAGCTGAATTCATCATCACCAATCCCCACATATTCCATATTAACAAGATTAACCTCTGCCATGATGGCGCTGGGAGATTTAAATGTTGCTGTTACTGCATATCTGTCTCCAACTTCCGCCTCAATAAGCTTAATATTTTTTTGGAAAGCAAAGAACACAAGATCCATATCCTTGGCAGAGTCCTCTTTCAATTCATGCATAAAAAGTGAGTGGATCACATTTTTAGCTTCACCAACAGCATCTCCAATAGTATCCTTCACGTTTTCAGGTAGCTCATCAAAGTTCTCATGCTGGTTTTTAAGAATTGTTCTCAAGAATCTCAGTCCCTCATAGACTATATGCATTTGACTGGTTGCAGAATCCATTAACCCGGTATTGCAATTAAGTAGCTCCCAAAAATTATCTAGGAGAGCATCAACTAAATTCCCCAATCTATGCTTATTACTCTCCTTCGACATAGTGCATGATCCTGATGAATTAGAAGCTACTAGGACTTGGATATAAATGTCACGGACTTGAGGATCAAAGGGGTTGATCTTCTGTAACAGTTCTGAAATCTTATATTGCACTTGGTTGGACACTTGTTCACCTTTTATGTCAAACCAACACATGGAAAAGAGGTCTGCTGCATTCAGAGCCACAGAATTGATGTGGGATAAGGCAGCTCCCAGTTGCCTTTGCTCAACAACTCGCAGCACAGCAAAGCGAATCAAACTTTGGAAGAACCTTAGCTTCTCCTGGAGGTCTTTGCATAGTTCCAGCAGATCTTGATCATCATATCCAAGTATGCAGAGGAGAACATCCACCAGATTCTCTAGGACAGAGTCGATGAGTTCCATCAACTCATGCGCCGTCAGACAATCACTAGTTTGCAACAAACTATTCGAGAAAATGAAGTAAAAATGGTTGATTGTTTGCTTAAAACTTTTGATACTCCTTTGAACGCTACTAGTCAAAATAAACAGCCGTTTATTGAATACTCGGTCTGTTTTCTGCTCCATTTGAAGTTTGAGTGCAAGTTTATGGATACCAGCTTCGAGTTTAGACATGAAAGATTCTAGATAGCTTACATGCTCTTTGTTGTCAGAAGTGCCCCATATTCTGGCGCAGAGAAGAAATGTCCTCATGAGTCTATACTCCCGCTTCAGTTGCTCAGATTGATAAACATTTAAATCCCAAAGGCCATCCAGATTTTCCAGAGCATTCAAGACTGAATCTACACAGTTGGAGGAGGTGGAAGAGGCCATCTCTTAGTGGGGTGATGGATTGCTAAGCAGCTATGGAACAACAACGTTCAAATCTTGAACAGCTAAACTAATCGGTGGATGCTAAACTCAAGAATAAAGAAGAATTATTTTCTGCACCTCAGAAAATCCTTTGGTCACCCTCCTTGTTCAGCTAGAAATGCAACAGTTGAAAGTCTTCACTCAAGTTTGAAGCAATAGAGTGGTTTGAGTCGGATGGAGATCTAGCAGTCTTGATGAGACCATTGACCGGGCAAGTTCATGTGGGTTTGGGTTGAGGTTTCGGGTCCGGGTTAGAATCGGGTCGAACCCGATGAACTCGAAAAGAAAGCAAGTCAATTTCGGGTCAATCCGTGGTAACATGATATGATCCGATGTGACCCGTTTACGAATTAAAAATAATTTAATAAATATAAAAATTATTTTATCTAACTAAACTAAATCATTCTTTTTTTTCAAAGGTATTAATTACTTAATCCTAAATGAATTTATTTAACTTGTGTGAAGAAATTATTATATTTGGACAAATAATATATTATGTTATTTTTTACTTTTATGCTGTTTTAATTTATTTTATATTTGGTTTGGGATAAAACACTTTTACGGTATTTAATTTATTTTAGAGCTGTTAATCGAGCTGAGTCGAACTGAGTACTTAGCTGCCGAGCTCGACTCGAGTTTAATTCGAGCCGAGCTCGACTCGAGCTCGTTAGGAAAACGAGATTTAAAATGTGTTCGAACTCGGCTCGTTAAATGTACATGTGGCTCGAGCTCGAGCTCGAGCTCGACTCGTTTATCACAAACGAGTCGAGCTTCACGAGCTCGAGCTCGAGTTCGTGCAAATTAACCTTAATAAAAACCTATAATTTTTAATTTTTATAATTTTGATTTCTAAAATGACAAATATACCCTTCATTAACGAGCTCTAATGAGCTACTCGAGTATCAAACGAGCCGAGCTTACTCGGCTCGTTAACTAAACGAGCATCTTTCGAGCTCGAGCTCGACTCGTTAACCAAAACTAACGAGCTTTCGAGCTACTCAATTTACTTAACAGCTCTAGGCATGACACTCTGCAAGTGTAAAAGAACACCAGTCCATTTAGGTTTTAGGATTTAAGGTATAGAGTTTAGAGCTCAGGGTTTAAGGTCATGATGTCTGGATTCATGGTGACACCATGCCCTTGAATCATGGCATCCATATCTGCCAGGGCAAACCAAAAGTTCCAATCCCCCTGCTCTCTCCCCGTACTTAAATCCCCACTCCTCTCCTGCTGGAATTAAAAAAAAAGGAGCAAATGATGAAAGCATGAAACAGCCATCATAGAGATTTGCCACCATTTCGTATCATCTATATGTGCCATCATTTATCCAAAACCAAGGAACTCAGCCACGAACTAAAAGCTACCAACAAAGAAGTCTATCAATACTGCAAACACGTAAGTTCATCAGCACGAGTACTACTTCAGCTGACATTGGCGCGTAAACAGCTTTAGAAAATCCAATATCCAACCATGCATCATGATATCTGATATCCAAACATAAGCAATAACATAATACAATGACATGGTGACTGCAGACAAAATGTCTACCTTGGACCAGGGCCACAGCGCTTGACATCTAATATCCAAACATAGTACAATAACATGGCACAATAACATAGCACAAAGACATCTTCCGTTTCATCCTCTAACAAATCCCCTTCTGCTGCCGCTAGATATGCTCCAAGCGCTTGCAAAGCTGTCCAAAAATGATACATGTCGTCGGTAGGGGCAGGAGGGGAAGGAATACCAATTGATGGAGACATGCTGGACTCTTTCCTCTCACTGAAGTGGGAGCTAATACTGTCAATTTCAAATGACTGAGTATTTACTTCCCCAGGGCTTGAATTGCCAAACTTCCTTGTACGTTTAGGCCTTTTCAGCTTCCCCTTATTCATAGCTTTTCCCCTCTTTGGAGCCACAACCTCAACATGATCATCAGTTGAATCTAATAGGATTGCTCTCTTTCCTTTTTGAAGTTTTGCCATCTTATTTTCCTGCTCACGCTCATCATCAGTATAAAGAGGTGCCTGGCCAGATTTCTGACTATACTTCCCTGATGTTCCCTGATCATGGAACACCTTGGTCAGCACATGAAATTGCAAACAAACACAGAGCCTCTTGTTCTAATGAAGCAGACTTACTTTAGTCAACTCATCTTTAAAGGGTTTGAGTTAAAAAAAAAAAAAAGAGGACACAACACTAATAAATTGCAAGACAAGGCCATTGGGTGTTAGCATGAACCAATTAACCCATACAGAAGCCAATAGATTATACCTTGAAGTAATTTGTAATGCAGAGTTTCAAGTCATTTTCGCCCGAAATGGACTGCACACTATCACAGAGAACGCCAGCTTTATGTCTGGCTGCTGCAAGAATAAAGAAGGCATGATAAGAACCTATAAATCGATTTAACAGGCACAACTAATCAAAATCAGCTACATACCCTTCAAGGAAGACCTTGTACAGGGAGGCATGAATATACGTTTAGTTCAATACAACAGCATTCAACACGAATAGCCAAGTATCTGAGGAAAGGACACAAGGTGTGAGAAAAGGCAGCAATCATCATACTTATGCAATAGCAATGAAATGGAGGCCACATTTCCAAATGAGGGCAGTAAATGCAACAGCACAAGTATGATCAGTCTGGAACAAAATTTTCATTATGTGCTAATTCAGAGCCAGCTACAATGTCATAGAGTAACAGGCAATAGGCATGAAACTTCCAATACAAGCCCTTACACATAAACTCCCAATTACAAGGCTAATTTCTAAGAAATTCCTGGGGAAGTGTTACCATAGAAAAAAGAACAAAAAGTTAACTGATTTAATCCGTTTCTTTGGATTATAGGGATAACAGCACATTTTCTGTGTCCTAATTGGTCCGACCAGAGACAAAAGAAATCTGGCCAAATTAAAACAGAGAGGTCGAATCTACAATCTTTGGAATTTCAAGATCTATACATTTAAAATAACGTTAATGACCACCGATGATGGTCTTCTTTCATTTAAATTGGTTTTTGGAACCTTTTCAGTTCAAATATGTTTGAAATTTTCTATATTTCTGTCTAATTTCTTTCCATAACTTTCCAGAGGAAAAAAAAGTGCATATAATAAGTAGAAAACACAAACCAACATTGCAGCAAAAAAAAAAAAAAGAAATTTCATAACGAATCAGTGATCAAAACTTGAACTTCATAAACGTCCATGCACTAGTCTAACATTGGCGAATTCTGGAACTTGTGCATAATATTTACTGCAGTTTCTTGACCTACTATAAGTTTGCCAGTGTCAAGTGAAAAGAGCAAATAATCTACAACTCTAACCATCAAATGATACCACCACGAGATAGGCTAGAAAAGTTCTTCCAAACGCAGTTAAGATCTAAGTAGAAATTCCAGAAACCAGTTACATTGCTCGGAAATTTAAAAAGAACAAAAAAAAAGAAGGGAAAAAGGAATTGCATAGAATCAGAGGGAGAGAGGGACTTCCGAGACCAGCACTAAACGGCGGGGACAACTCCAGCAGGTGGATGGCGATTGCCGGCAAATGGCAGCAGCAGCTGTGGAGGAGAAAAAGGAATGGAGTTTCGAAGAAATTCAAATGGAAGAGGAGGAGGTCCAAATCGCATATATAAATCTTCAAATAGTATCGTTTCCTCTATTTATTTATTTATTTTGTAAATTCACCTAAAAAAAAGGCCGCTTATTTTTTTGTGCAGAAATAAGTTCATCTGAAATTTTTGTGCGGAAAGTCGATTACATCTTTGTTTGGTTTGCTGTTTATTCTATTAGAGGAAACTAGGCCTCCCCAGCCTTTATTTTTCTTTTGTGCGTGGATAGAAGTTCATCCGAAAATTTTGAAATAACTTTCCTTTGTTTGGATTGATGTATATCTATTATCTATCACTATATAAAAATTGTGAGTGTAAATATATAAAAATTGTGTGAGTGTAAATAGTGTGAGTGTGAGTGTAAATAAAAATTGATCTTAGTATTTGTGATATCAATACGGGTCTTGATACTAATAAATGGGCAGATTATATTGTATTTCCCTAATAATAATTAGTAAGAATTATGCTAATAGTTATAAAGAAACCTTCTTTAATCAACTATTTCTAGAGTAGTTGGCCACCAAAAAAACTTTAAAGTTCAACTATTCCTGTACTATAAATCTCGAATTTCCTGAAAAAATTTCGTCGGTGGGTGCGTACACACCCTTCTAGATTGGTGGTGATAGAATCTATCATGTCCAGCAATATATATACTTTGAATTGTGATGATTCTAGTGAATTAAACCGAAAAAAGAACAACTAGTTCATTGCATTTCATCAATAATTAATATCAATTATATGCCAACAATTATAAGAATGAAAAACATTCCCTTCAGTTATAATGAATTAAATTAAAAAAAAAAGAAGAACAAATTTTATTTTTAAATTATAAAAAATATGGTCAATCTTAGTTGTTAATAGTGGAAGCAAAATAGGATATTAGTTTATATGATACCAAATGCACTCCTGTTTAATAAATGGACAAATTGTTGCATTTCATCATTAATAAATAATATCAAACATGCGGGTGGTTCCAAAAAATGAAAGGTTCCATACTTCTTTATTTACCAAAAGAAAGAAGAACAAATTTTATTTACAAAATCCAAGTTTAAAGAGTACTTCAAACATGAAACAAAACGTAATAAATTGGTACTATGAATCTCTCAAAAAGTATCACGAATCTTTTTATTTCTTGGATACAAATAAACTAAGCCTTTAGAGCACCTTTTTTATATGCGCACAATATTATTGAGTAAAAAAAATTAATTCAAAATATAATAGGAAATGGAGTACTAAGGTAGGCAAAAAGTTTGATGTTGGGAATTTATTTATTTAAATTGCAATAAAGATTATATTTAATAAACTTTATCAATCATATTCTTGTATCAACTATAGTATTAAACTACAATTAATGAATATTATATTCATCAATGCCAATCATAAAAATAATTACAAAGGTGAAACATCCTTTGAATTATGGTCATAAAAATATATCCAGGTTAGTTTGACTATTATATAATAAATAATCTTAACATGTTACAATTTTTAATCATATTAACTCTATAATTATAAAGCATGCCATCAAGGAGAAAGACAAATAAGTTTCACCAAATCAAAACATTTCTCTTCAAAGTTAAGCTATTTAAATTCGAACAATGGAATTTCAATATATTCAGATACTATTATAATTACAATAACATTATAGATCATTTTACAATCCACTGTTAGCAAAATAATAATAATAAGAAAATCTCACTAAAAGTAATAAACAATTCATAGAATGACTTAAAAGGGAGCAACGAATTATTCAAAAATTAAAAGTTTAAATTCAAATGGCATAAAAATGAACATTTAGGTCATCTAAATTTAACCAAAACATTATTCTTGAAACAAAGAATGATTTATTGTTTGTGCATTTGTATTGGTTAAGGCAAACTAAGTTCAGAAAAAGTATAAAATAACATAAGTATTAAAAATCACATTTTTTTTGTCTCAATTACATTTATTCCTTCAAAATAATTGGGGATAAATTTACAAATCTCCCCTTAAAAATTACATATACCTCCCCTATTTTTACTATTTAGTAACAATGTAGGTCTAACAAACTAAATTTCTCTTAAAAATTCTAAATTGCCCTTCTGTACAAAATTAATAAAGAAAATATAGTGTACTCAATCATTTTTTCCACACTTTGCACAAATCAACAAGTCTAATCCCTAACAACCATCCAAACATAAGTTCTAAAATCAAATAACTCTTCAAAATATTCCAAATTGCATATATAATATCAATACTTGTCACGCAAAAACAAAAAAGAGAGGGAAAAAGACAAGCCCCATTGATAACCAATTTTTTACTCCAAAATTAAATATCAATGCTCAAATACCTTTTCAATACAAGCTAATTTGATTTAGAACCACCATTACAACACTCATATGGTCTTAAAAATATTAATGTCTCAAAAATAGAGAATAAATTCTACCTCCATAATAAAATCATAATAACAAATTCTAATTCAATGAAAGAGATCCTTATGTAATTATTGATATTTTATAAAAGTTTTTTGACAACAAGCAAAATATGACAATTTTCACATATTTAGTTTTTCTTCCTATTTCAATTATCAGTTTCATTATTTATTTCTCTATCATTGCGAGTCTCTTCATTTCTTTCTAATTTGACACATATTCTGCTCCCTCTGTGATTTTGTAATTTTAATTTACTAATATTAACAAAACTGAAGATAATAAAAATATGTTATAGTAACTAGAAAAGAAAGGAGCGAAAATATTAGACAAGAGACAGAAAAATAGATTATTTCTTAAACTTGAGGGGATTTGAGAGAAATTGTTAGAAACCTCAACAGAGGTTTCTGAAATTATCCCAAATAATTGATTTTCTAAAAATTTTAAAGGAGAAATATCTAAAAGTATCAGGTTCACATGCAAAGCACGTGCTCCATTATTAGTGAGATAAAAAGGTATGCTTGAAAAATGTGATCATAGAAAACGTAAAAACTTTAATCCAGATAAATATTTATACAATCACCAATTAGTTATTGCGATTACTATTACTACTTTTTATACTGTTATAGATATAAGAGGGCATGGAAATGTAGAAATGCTTTTCTTGTAACATATCGCTGAGCTATTGACAGGTGCCAAACCTGTGCAATAATAATAATAAAAACCTAAATACCACAAAAAACAGTCAATAATTAATCCTAGGTACTGGAGCAGGGACTCTAAGTGTGCAATGGGTTACTTGATTCACCATGTTCCCGAAGAGTTTGCTTAATCCGATATACCAGAATTAATTAGTTGGCAAAAATTACTAAATAGTAGACAGTGGCAAGTAGGGTCATCTCCTCAGGGACTGGGGAGATTTGTCTCTTTTAAATTCCAATTGGTAAGGGGGGATTTCATCAGAATGAAGCTAAAAGCAATTACACAATTCAACTAAAACTAAATAATTAACTAGCACGAATATAGCAAGAATTAAATCAAGAATAAATAAATCCTAGCCAAGGATGCAACTATTCAGGCACAGTCCATTTATCCGATCATTGACGCAAGAGAGGTTCACTTAATTTATTAATAGACTAGTTATAGCCATCGAGGAGCTCTAATGACCAATTTTTCCCTAATTTATAGATGACCAAGGTACGACCATTAATCACCCCTAACCAGAAAAGTATTCCTAGGTACGACCGTAGGAATTAATTTTCCAATTGCATTAATAGCCAGAAAAACCTAGCCCTAATCAATAACACGCTACGAGGGTTATTTAAATTAGATTGCACATTCCCCTAATGTGTAAACACACCAGTTGCCACTAATATTAATCAATCAAACAATTACGGATTTAACTGACTAAATTGGCACGAGATTAATAAATCACCTTGAATATCGGGCCCTTGAGATCCAAGTAATAAAATAATCCCATGAAAATACAAGCAGGCAACGTGCAAATATTAATAAATTAAGGAACGCGTGAAAACTAATTAGATCTCACAGATTTTCGGGACTGCGCCGTCGAGTTGACCCTTGACTAGATGGAAGACTTAGCCACGCCGCATAATTAAATCACCACACGAGTTAATAAATTGCGAAGGCATTGCTTTTTACTAGAAAGTAAGGAATAAAGAATGTTTTTCCCGTTGGGGAATATTGTCAAACACCTGACGTGCGTCAGAGGCTAGTCCCAGGAAAAGAAAGAAAAAACTAAAGCTAAACTAAAAGCTAAAACTAAAAAGGTAAACTGAAAGCTCCCCGTCTCCTGTACGCTTGTTCCCTATTTAAAGCCAAAAGAAAGATATCCAGTGATCCCCACCAATTGGCCACAAGCTGCCGAATTCATCTCCTTGTTTTGAGCCCCTGTGCGGTCCCACCAATTAGCCACAAGCCTCCCAATTACTTCTTAGTTCTCTGGCTCTCTACGTTGCTCTTAAGAGCCAAATGACTAAAGCCCTTGTCCTTTCCTCCGTGGTCCCTGCTGAAGTCAAAGGCCCAAGCCTTGAAGTTCTCTCTGCCGCAGTCCCTGATTGTAGTCTTCTTAGTCAACAAAAGTAAAGGAACGGAACTCCAGTTCTTTTCGGCACTGTAGCTTGCTTGAAGTCTCAATTATCTTCAGAAAGACCCTCATGTTTGGTAGTTGTCTGTTCCATTCCTGAAATTGATTCCAAATACCAAATATGAGTAAATATCAGCAATTAACACAATAAATGTCGGGGTAGAAGGGAAAATTAATAATAAAATTACTAACAAATTATACCCTATCAGCTATCAAGGAAAAAGATTTGAAGCCAAGATGTGTAAGATCTATGTCACATTGCTGCTTCGTGGAACAACATTGATGCACAAGGACTAGTTCGCATGAAAGCAATTTTGCAAATAAAATACCATGTAAAATGTCAGTTTGATGAACTTAGGTTGACCTTATATGTTTCCCCATTTAATTCTCGTAAAATTGATTTCCATAATTTTATCTTTACAGCGTTCCCATCCACCAACTGGGATCCTTTTTTGAATACAAAATTGTGCCTTAGCAATTCAGTTTTCTAAATTGCTCTCTGATTAACATAAAGTAGAAGGGCTCATGCTCACTGATTCTTGTGCTCTAGTCCTGTCTTGAGCTTTACAGATACAACGAGCAATGGAAATGTATCATTGGCACAACCGCAGAACACTTGAGAAAAAATATGTTGCCTGTTACAGAGCTAAGATACAACTTCAAGAAGGATGCAAGCACCTATCAGGGTTCAGCTAATCCACATCCTTCTGCTACAAAATACTAGCTACTTTGAACTACAAGCAGTACGGAAGATATGGCAAATTGAGTTCCAAAAGAAGTAAAATAGCACCTCATTTAACATATCTACAAATTGCTGAATCGGTTGGACAGTTTAACAACACCAGACAGACAAGGAAGATCTTAGGCTTTGGCCATCCGAGGCAGGGAGCAAAAGGGATTTCCATCCTGGATGTTTTCATTTGATCTTGACTGAAACAGGATCTGGTTCAGCAAGGGATCATATTAAAAGTACCAAGGATAGTAAGTAAGAGCTATCAGGGTTAATGTTGATCTTTGAGTGCAAAATCACAGCAAAACACAAAAACTCAAACTTAAGAAACTCAAGACAGCATGTAGTCAAGAATAAAGCCAGCACTTAGTTGCATGACATTTTTTGTTGTATTTGAAACACTAAAATAAGAACTTACCATGAAGAGAGGAGCAACCAACAAGTATAGGTGGCAGAATGAGCTTAATAGCCTTCATCACAGCGGATGAAATAATTGCAGCAAGTAGCAGCAGTCTCGACTAACCACAGCGATATGCTTCAAAACTTGCAGCTTAGACTTGATTGTGTTAGAAGATACTCTTAACAATTCTGTGCAGCTTTACTGCATGAACAGTACATCTTCCGTGGCTGCTCCCAAAAACATTTTCATTATGAGAAGATTTCTCAAGTTTTGGTTGTAATATGTTCAGAATAAAAGTAGTTAAAAGTCAAATTTGAGTAGTAAAAGAAGAGTAGTATATCTGAACTTACCAGACTCTTAGAACCAGACACCAATTTGATGACCAACAGCTCTGAAAACTCCTCAAATCTTTACTACTAGAAAATCATAACCAAGGAAAAGTGAGACAGAAACCCATCATCTACGAGATTATCGAACAAATCACTAATCAAATGGTTCAAGAAGCTTGATAAATGCGCCTTCAAGAGGTGATTAAACTTTGGAGCAACTATTTACTCCCACTAGAATCATAAGTTAGGGAGCTGATCACTTTAGCAATCACATCTTACATCCACAAAAGCAGATATATAAAATCAACAAAACGAAACTCCTAGTGCTTATTTCATATTGATGGGTAACTTGTTAAGTGCAGGCAGAAGGAGTGCAGTAGAGAATTGCGGGTTTAAAGTCTTATAGAAAAGGTTTGTAGAATTGCTGCTTGGGGTATCAAATCTAAAATGTCCAATGCATTTTCAACGGGTGAAACTTCAGAGAGAGCAATCATTTAATCCATATTAAGGTTTTAGTTAATGCATTGGTTATTAAACTGCTTAAAACCCAATATTAAGTAGTGGAAGAGGATGGTTGGTATTATAAATTATCAGACTACCAATCTCACAACCAAGGGCAGTCAGGGTAACTCGATTGACCATTGGATTTATGTAAAGAGATCACAGCTGAAGAAAGTAGAATCCCATCATTTAAGAGACATAATAAGAATACCAATAATCAGATAATTTGGAGAAAGATGATAAATACATTCCCAAGAGGTGGAAGTTCAGAGTAAGCATTTCAATCCTCGTAGAATCTCAAGTTTAAAGAGAATTAGCTCCTTTCAGGAATCATGATATACAACTGGAGGTAGCAGACAAATGAGCTGAGCAAAAGTAAACTGCTAGTTCTTATTTAACACAGAATTTTGTACCGTAGATGTAAAGTTTTCAGCTTTGACATGGCTTAACTGTCCACATCAAGTAATCTGCTCTTGAACACCTGTATTCAATAATTGAATTTAATACATGGTTAGCAATATTGTTTTCTTCCTGAAACAGCACTTTTTAAGTTTTTCTGAATCAGACTGAAAAAGCCAAGAGAAGCTCAACAAAGCAGACTAATAAAACCTTCAACAAACTAAAGTTCCAAAATTGCCAATTTACTTCCATAATTCACAGCTTATAAGGTAGTACACTTAACAATTGAGATCTCTAAGTGCAACCTGCAATCAACTTGCTAAATGATAATTCTTTAGTCCTGACTGCTACATTACTAGACAACATCTTGGAAGCAGACGTTTTAAAACTTCAGATATTTTGCAAATAAATCATCTTGCCGTACAATTTTTATCGCCTAATATTGGATGGATTTTAAAAAATTTAGTAGTGGTTTCACGGGAGTATGTTGTCCTGAAGAGACAAAAAAAACTAGAAATTGACCCTTAAAATCTTTGTCCATCATTGCCTACTTATAATTTTCTGTGTTCCGTCAAACTTTGATTTAACAATCTATTTCATAAATGTAAACACATTATCATTCTTTTCTAGCAAATTGATAACCAAATGAACTTTTAGAGTACTTAGTTGGATGAAGAGGTTTTAGATTGAAAATCTCAAGAAGGCATGTTTGCCTGCTTTAAAATAAAGATAGAAGAGCAAATTCCATGTCATTTTCGAGCTGAGAATCTTACAGAAAGAAAGGGTTTCTTTTTGTTGCCTTTGTTCTAAAACTAATGAGCAGGAAATAAGACTTGATACTAAGTACATCTACTAATCCATTTGAAATAAAATCGCTAACCTTACTGTACTTACTTGAAAATTTGTAAGCTTCTCATTGTCAGTCGGTTTCTCTAAAACAATCTCTATCACCAACCAAACCGCCCATGATCATCAGCAGAAATTCACGGTAATGATGACTCTTGATCTTGAGAGACATTACATTGAGGCATTGAGGAACAATAGAGCTGTAGGCTATTAAGGCACAACAGAGATCCACGTTTAACTGCTACCAAAACACCATTTAGTTCTAACTTCTAACTATGAGCAGTATGCCGGAGATGCAAATTGAGTTCTACAACATGCAAATCAGCACCTCATTATCATGACTACACATCATTGGATCCTTTGGACAGTTTAAAAGAACCATACCCCAATGGATATCTCAGACTTTGGCCATCTGAGGCAGAAAAAAAGAATGCCACCCAGAAAGGAATTGTAGGACTTTGCAAAAGTAAAGACAGTAAATGAGAGCCATCGATGAGGTTCCCAGTTAAGTTTTGTCCCTAAAATCATTGCAAAGCACAAAAACTCAAACTCAAGATGCTGTTCAAAATAGAATAAAGCTAATGGAAATTTTTAAATAATTACAGGTTTTCTGTCATTGTGACTAAAGCCCCAAAAGGAGAAACTTACCATAAAAAAAGAAGCAACCAACAATCATAAAAGCAGAGAGAGCTTAAAAGCCTCTATCAAGATGGATTCATTAAGATCAGCGAGTCACAACAAGCAGACTTGACTAACTACTAGAATGCTTCAAAACATTGCGCTTAGAGTTGAATGTTGGAAGATACTCCACCAAGTTTTGTGCAACTTCATTGCTCAAACGGTACACACCTTCCTTGGCTACCTCAATAATATCTTCATGAAGACAAGATTTCCTTTGTTTCATACGTAATAGATTAGATATTAAAGTGGTTAGAAGTCAAAATTGAGCAGTGAAAGAAGAGAAGCATATCTAAAATTACCAGAATTTTTAAACCAAAACATGAAAGTGATGACCAACAGCTGCGAAAACTCCTCAATTGACTATTGTCTTCATGGCTAAAAAGCCAAAATCAAGGAGAAGTGAGCCAGAAAACCATCATATATGACTCTGATGGAGCAATTACTAGTCAAATAGTTCAGATAAGTATGCAAATTCATTATCAAGAGGTAAAAGTTCAGTCCCTTTAAAATCACAATTTTAAATAGAGTGAGATGACTTTAGCATTAATAACTTAAAATCCACAGAAGCAGATCACGTAAAATAAACAAAACAAGACTGCTAGTTGTTCAAAACGTTGATAGGCTATTTGTAGGAAATGCAGGCCAAAAGTTATTGAGGTCTAGCCATATAGTTGGTGCTGAAGAAGCTTCAAAATTCTAACCTCTGTTCGTGAAGCTATTCTTCTATCAATCCTACAAAAACAAAGCATAGAACAGAATATGATCAGAGATACGGTAAAACATCAAACAAACCCTCGTAGCGTATTTGTTGGTTAGGGTTGGGCTTTTCTAATTATTAATGCAATCGAGTAATTAAATCCTATGGTCGTACCTAGGATTATTTCTTGGTTAGAGAGTTAACGGTCGTACCTTAACTATCGAGAAATTAAGGAAAGGCTGGTTGGTCATCGCGTGTATGATAACTATAACCAATCTAGTAATGAGTAATTGAATTATCTTTGCATCGATGATCAGTTGCATGGACCGTGTCTGAAAAGTTGTACCTTTGGCTAGAGTCATATTGGTTATTGATTAATTTCTATTTATTTCTATTAGTTGTTTTATTAGTTAGTTAATTAGTTATTTTATATTCTTCAAAAACCCCCCATACTTCGGACTCTAAAAGAAATAAGTTATCGCCAGTCCCTGTGGATTCGACCCTACTCACCGCTATATACAAAATCTGTATTTTTCTCGAGTAAGTAATTATTATTGCACAGGCTCGACACCCTGTCAATTTTTGGCGCCGTTGCCGGGGATTAATGGATCAAAATCCAAAATCAAGGATAAGTGAGCCAGAAAACCATCATATACGACTCTGATGGAGCAATTACTAGTCAAATAGTTCAGATAAGTATGCAAGTTCATTATCAAGAGGTAAAAGTTCAGTCCCCTTAGAATCACAATTTTAAACAGAGTGAGATGACTTTAGCAATAATAACTTAAAATCCACAGAAGCAGAGCATGTAAAATAAACAAAAATAGACTGCTAGTTGTTCTAAACGTTGATAGGCTATTTGTAGGAAATGCAGGCCAAAAGTTATTGAGACGGTGCTGAAGAAGCTTCAAAATTCTAACCTCTATTCGTGAAGCTATTCTTCTATCAATCCTACAAAAACAAAGCATAGAACAGAATATGAACAGAGATACAGTAAAACATCAAAGCACGAAACAGAACAGGTGCTTGGGGTCATTCTAATTCATAGTTACAAGAGTATTACTATTATGTTGTAAGGAGTAAATGAAGAGCACCAATATTTTGGACCTAATAAGAAATGCTAATGCCGCAGCTTTGAAAGATAATAAATAGGACGATAAAAAGGGAGAAGAGAAAATTGTGAAAATAACCACGGAGACTTTTTAGGTTTTCTCACGAGAAGGTTAATCAGAGGGGGAGGTGAAGAGAAGGGGAGATTGATTGTAAAGCAAATTTAGAAAGTAGGTAGGAGGCAATCTTACATGATTGAATTTGATTTGAAGTTAATCACCATATGCCTAGGTCTTGAATGTGCATCTTTCTTTTAACAGAGGCGAACCATCAATCAGCAGACGTTTTAGTTTGGTGAGACTTCTCATGGCATCCTCAGAGGGTAGATGTCGAAGCTCTTTGAAATTCAGTAAACGCAAGTTTTCAAGAGCAGCGCAGTTTCCGAACCAATCTGGCAGAGCTTTTATACCTTCAAAGTCACGCAGAGTTAATGACGTGAGAGTGGTCAAGTATTGGATCTGAGGTGGCAGGGACTCCATGTGTGGCAACCCATATAAGTATAATTCACGGAGTGCGGATGACGAAGAGGAGGAGGAGGATATCAATCCAGACCAATCAAACTCATTGTAAATTGAAGAATTTTCATGATCATCACCATCATCTGAGAAGTGACCAATCACAAGCAACCTTAAGCTGGTTAGGAAACCAAATCCTTTGGGCGTCATGCTCGTTTTCAGTTTGGGACACCAGAATACTACCAGCTCCGAGAGAGAAGGCGTTTGTTGCAAATCAAGCGGAAAGGAGATAAGATTGCTACAAAAAGTCACCCAAAGCTTCTGGAGAGAGATACAAGAGTGTAGCATGTCACCTGGCAGATTCGTCAACCCATCGCAATCCCAAATCTCCAGCTCTTTAAGAGACGTAAAGTTTTGCAGGGGAAGGAGTTCTCTGCATCTGTGGCAGTGATTAAACTCCAAACACGCTAACTTGGAGAGTGTTGTTGCTGACTCGGGGAGTGTTGTTGTTGTTGGCAAATTCATTAACCATCGAGGAAATTGATCACTCATAAAATTCCCAATGACCAACTCCTCCAAATTTGGGTGGGGTCGAAGGCCATCTAACACATCTTCGTCGTTGTAGTTGTCACCTTCTCGATTGTAGGCCCACTGAAGTTCCAGCCTAAATAGATTTGCCTTTTCAGATAGTTTTGCTTCCTCAGCTCCTTCTTTACCCTTTACCAGTTCCAGATTGCGTATCTCCAATTTGCCTTTGAGGTTTTTCAAGCTTCCAAGCTCTCCAATTTGTCGACCCTTCTCTCGACCCACGTTAAAAAACTCAAGTGTCTGGAGGCAAGTCAGCCGTCCCATCTGCAGCGGCATTTGAAATTCTTTATCATCATGTATGTAATAATAGAGATGTCTCAAGCTAATCAAATCGCACATCTTTTTCGGAAGATCTTTGACATATATGCTATTTAGGCTCAGTGTCTCCAAATTATAAAGTTTGCAAACAGATTCCGGCAAAGTTTGACTTCTAGAACGCTCAAAGTTAATGTACCTCAAGTGTATCAGTTTGCCAATTGAGATTGGCAGATTCTGATTTTCTACACTGGACAAATTCAGAACGTGCAGATTCTTCAACTTCATTAGCATATCATCAGATAAGCTACCTTGACTTAGAAACAATGTATGAAGCAAATTTGATTGACTCTTGAAAAGATTTTTTGTGCCTTCTCCAAATGAGTCTATTACAAGACAACGAACCTGATTACTATTGTCTTCTGAACCAGTCTCCGAATTAATGACTTTAGTAGACTTTGCCATTATTGATTTTGAGACGTCGTGCACCATATCATGCATTTTATAACACCTTCTCCGATATTTTCTTATTTCTTCCAGCAAAGAACTCTGCAATAAAATTTCCAAGTAATATTCTCCAATTTCCTCCATTTTTTTGTTCTTGAGATCTACTTGAAGGAAGCCTTCTGCCATCCAAAGTTCGATCAGCATATCCCCTTCCATCTCAGTATCCTTGGGAAAAATAGAACAATATGCAAAACATTTCTTAATGGCTGGTGATGGTAGATTATCAAAACTCAACTGAAGTATTTGCATGACACTGTCTTCATCTCTGCTCAAATTTGAAAGCTTATTCATCAAAATCAATTTCCACTCCTTCCTTCGCAATAAACCTCCCATTACACTTGCAGCTAGCGGTAGGCCACCACATTTTTTTATAATTTCCTTTTTCATGACTTGCAGTTGTTCGGGAATTTCTCCACCTGCATTGGCTTTCTCTATTAGGATAGACCAACAATCATCATCAGATAGCTTTCCTAACACATAAGGATCATGTGTAGCCAAAATGGATGCAGTTTGTTGTTTACGAGTTGTCACAACACACCAATTTCCATTAGTTGCATTCAGGCCCCGTAACAAACGTAAAAAATCATCCCCCAAGATTTGGCTTTCGGTCCAGACGTCATCAAGAACAAGAAGATATTTTTTTCCCACAAGTTGTTGTCTAATTTCCTGGACAATGACATCCCTACTGGTCATGTCAATATTTCTTCTCGTGAGTGATTCTAAAATCATTTTCAAAAGCCTCGTCACTTCAAAATTGTCGGAGACACAAACCCAAATTTTTTTCTCAAAATGGCTATCAACTTGGCTATTGTTGTATACAGATTGAGCTAAAGTTGTCTTTCCCAATCCGCCCATCCCAAGGATGGGAATTACAGAAACGGCATTTTCTGACAAGCTTAGCAAGATCTCCACCAGCCTTGTTTCATCCTTAGCTCTTCCTACAACATAATGACCAGCAATAGAATCCGTCTCTCTATTTAGTGTGACTTTAGCACTAGTAGAAAGGGGGAAACTTGCCCTTTGGAATCTGATCAGTCCAAAATCATTGGCTTCTTTATTGATCTTATACAACTTCTTGTTGATGTCCCTGATCTTAGAGGCCATTCTCCGTCGGAAAACAATATTAATGTCAGAGGAGAGGATGAAGGAGCGCACCTTGCCCACAAGTTGGCGACGAAGAGCTTCATAATTCAGCTCGTCCAACAAATTCTCGGCATCAAACGCCACGGCTTCTAGCCTCTGGAGCCACAGTCGCACGGCCTGGTCATGCGTTTGCTTTTCCTCTGCATCAGCCAAGACAGCTTGGATCATAGCAACAGATCCTTTGAGGGTGTCCAAATCCTCCTTGAATTGGAATAACTTGCCAATCCTTTCATTGGCAAGGGAAAGTGTCTTCTTCAATGCTACCTCTATTGTGGAAGCTATAAGTACATCAGCCATTCTTCTTGTTCCTTGGGTACAGTCTTCAGATAAGAATACTCTTTTGCAGTGGAAGGTTTTAGCTGTAGCTAGAAGCAGCAAGGAACTGCTTTGACTCAAACGGAAGTGACAAGAGTTATGAGGATTTTTTGGTGCAGCGCTTCTTTGACAAACTGGGTGGGATGCTTTTGCAACGGAAATTGCTTGGCATTTTCAGTTGAAAATAAAATATAGTCATTGCCGGGATTCTACATCTGCTTTTGATCCACATTCCACATGCCTGGGGCCCCTGATCGTGGAAAATTCCACTCAAGAAGGATGAGAAACTGTGCTGAACAATGAAAGGTCCAAAATAATTTTTCAGATAGTTCAAATTAAGCGATCACATCTAATTCAAATTAATGTTGTGCATGTATATGAGTCACAAAATAGTTTGGTGCATTAGCAAACAGAAGGGTACATCTAAGGTTACTACGACAAGTTTTACGCTAAAGTGGGAGATTTGTAAACCACTTCAGAGCAAACAAACGATATTGAGGAAAAAATTATGTTAGTTGCAATGCAATCATAAAAGCTATGATACATTTGTGAAAACAAGAAACATTTATTAATTTGGTGCAGTCTAATTGCAAACCTAGAAAAAAAAAAAAAAGAATGATCCGAAAGGGTGAAAGGTATCATTTTACTCAAATAAAAGTGTGACCGAATAGAGGATTAGTTAAATAAAAAAAATAGATTAATAATGTAACACTTTTTGTATTTTTATATAATGAATGTGAGACAGGATGGTGGCTAAAAAAATAAAAAGGTGAGTGGAATGGTATAAACTATCATTTCATAAATTTGTCTAATGATAATAGTGACCGGAATGATACGTGTGGCGAGTTGAGATGGAATTACTTCTTGCAATAGATTGCACCATGCAATCTATATTTTACATTAGGTAAATATGAAATTGTACGAATAGAATTGATTAGCACGCAAAACTTTTAATGAATAAAACATTTATTGTGGTTTTGTGTATTGTAATTTTGTCTGCATTTAATATATCAGTGTATGCACGTCTATTGTGTCAGTATCTAAATTGCATGGCGTGTATGGCACTAAATTTCCAGTTCACCTTTCCTACTTAATGCCTTGCTGAGGCCTCTACTCTGATTGAGAAACCTTATAACTGCTGGGGCCTTCTATTGTGCAAAAAATCTCAAAAAAATAATGGTCTGACCCAAGAAGCACAAGAAAGTATTGTCCTTAACAATTAGAATGTTAAAGAAAAAAAAAAAAGGGAAATTGACAATGATGCTGTGATTTTAGCTACATTATTCATCTCATTTTTCTAGTGCCGGAGAAACAAAATAAAAAGATTTCACTAAGTTTGCTTTTCGCAGTGTACCGCGCTGGGCTTTATCAAATGCCCCATTTTTTGCTAGAATCTGGGGTCCGTTAAGTTGTCCATTTCCCAGAATTACTTATTTTGCTTCTTGTTTGGTTCTATTATACTATGCAGAATTTTATATATATATGTACATACGTGGATTGTCCTCTTAAGAATCAAGATTGCCAATCTGATCACGTAAATTGGCCAGACATTGGTTGGAATTAGAGGTGGCAATTTGTCCCAAGTTCCAATGGATTACTCATACCCATGGGGACTTTGGGCGGGTACTGAAATTTGATATTGGATTTAAAATGGGACAAATTTCAATTGTATCCATTAATTGATGGGAAATTTTGGAAAATACTTGGGTACCCATTGGGCTCAAATAGCAACTTGGCTCCGTTTGGACTAGCTGTTTTTGGGGGGTGTTTTTGAAATATTTTATTATAGCAGTGTATATGAATTTTTTTTTGAAACATTTGATATACTAATATGGATGGGATATTTTTTGAGTTATTGCATATTACAGTAACATTGTATTTGAAAAACTTATTTTTTGAAAAAATAGCCAATCCAAACGGAGTCTTAGATTCAAAAATTATCTTTAATAATTTTTATAGTCATACCAGCGAATATAATCTAGTAGTCTTCCTAGTCATTATCCACAAGAATTTTCAGCATTTCAGTCAGTTTAGACCTGTCATCCTTGGACAATGATGAGGATAAATATTCAACACCCTAAGTACCTTGGCCATCTTGATATATGTTGGAATATGGCTGTATATCTATCTTTTCCTTTATTTGTTAATCCAATTTTTGGTGGGAATCCTGAGTATAAAGCACTTGCATGTTTATTTAATAAAACTAAAAGAAATTTAATAAATAAAAAATATAAAAATTATATAAAAAAATAAAAAAATAAAAAATGAATTAAAGGAAAAAAAATATGTAGAAAATAGATTTGAGTATTGGACGGGATCAATCTAAACCCATCCCAAAGTGATCCCGCCCAAGTTAGTTCCAAAATATATATGGGTAAAGTTGGACCCAAACCCATATGACTCGGCTCCATCTTAAACCCAAGCAAATCCCGCCCATCCCGCTCATTTTGCCACCTCTAGTTGGAATTCTTTGCATTTTTCATGACAGGGCGTCAACCTGTGCAATAATAATAATAATAATATAGAACCTAACTACCACTAAAAGCAGTCAATAATTAATCCTAGGTACTGGAGCAGGGACTCTAGGTGTGCAATGGGTTACTTGATTCACCCTGTCCCCGAAGAGTTTGCTTAACCCGATATACCAGAATTAATTAGTTGACGAAAATTACTAAATAGTAGACAGTGGCAAGTAGGGTCGTCTCCTCAGGGACTGGAGATATCTGTCTCTTTTAAAGTCCAATTGATAAAGGGGGATTTCACCGGAATGAAACTAAAAATAATTAGACAATTTAACTAAAAATGAATAAATAACTAGCACAAATATAGCAGGAATTTAATCAAGAATAAATAAATTCTAGCCAAGGATGCAACTACTCAGGCACAGTCCATTTATCCGATCATTGATGCAGGAGAGGTTCACTTAATTTATTAATAGGCTAGTTATAGTCTGACGACCAATTTTTCCTTACTTTATTGATAACCAAGGTACGACCATAGGAATTAATTTTCCAATTGCATTAACAACTAGAAAAACCTAGTCCTAATCAATAACACGCTACGAGGGTTATTTAAATTAGATTGCATGTTCCCCTAATGTGTAAACACACCAGTTGCCACTAATATTAATCAATCAAGCAATTACGGATTTAATTGACTAAATTGGCACGAGATTAATAAATCATATTGAACGTCGAGCCCTTGACATCCAATTAATAAAATAATCCCATGAGAATACAAGCAGACAACGTGCAAATATTAATAAATTAAGGAACGCGTGAAAACTAATTAGATCTCATAGATTTCGGGACTGCGCCGTCGAGTTGACCCTTGACTAGATGGAAGACTTAGCCACGCCGCATAATTAAATCACCACACGAATTAATAAAGTGCAAAGGCATTGCGTTTTCTATTAAGAAACAAGGAATAAAAGGTGTTTTTCCCGTTGGGGAATATTGTCGAACACCTGGCGTGTGTCAGAGGCCAGTCAGGAGAAAGCAAAACTAAAACTAAACTAAAAGACTAAAAAACTCGCGATGTCCCTGTTACTCTACGTTATCCCTATTTAAGCAACAAAAGAAAGATGACTAAAGGCTATCTAGGTGGTTCCCACACATGTGGACAAAGCCTTCAAAGTACTTCTTGCCCAAGTCTCTTTCCGTAGCTTTCTTTGAAGAGCCCAAATGACATATAGCTTGTGGTCCCCCACCAATTCAAGGGCCCAAGAATTGAAGCCTTTAGAAGTCTCCATATTCTCCATAAAATCCTTCCTTTTTGGTAGTTTTCTGTTTCATTCCTGAAATTAAGTCCAGATACCAAAAAATGAGTAGATATCAGCAATTAACACAATATTTATCAGGGATAAAAGGGGAAATTAATAATAAAATTACTAACAAATTATACCCTATCATTTCACTTGTGGAAATAGTTAAAAGGAGAGTCTCTAATATATTTGCAAGTTTTCCATCACCTCAAACTTTCATAAATTTAATAATAATAATAATAATAATAAAATCTCTTTTTTTTTTAACTCATGGTTTGGGTCGTCAAACACCGCGTGGGCACGCCAAGATTGGCCTTCGTCCTCTGATCTCAGGAGGCACAAACACCGCGTGGGCACGCCAAGGTCTCACTTCCTGATTGCAGTGAAGGCAATATTAATACTGATACTACCCAACGAGGAAATGACAAAGTGAAAGAAATGAAACACTAAAAACAATAAAACCGATATTTGGGTTGCCTCCCAAAAGAGCGCCTTTCTTTAGTGTCTTTGGCTAGACATATCCCATAATTTGCTTAAACCAAACAAATTGGGTCCTCCACATGCATTGTCTCTATCCGTTCAACTGGAGCCCCATCATAATATGGCTTGAGACGATGACCATTCATCACAAATTTCTTCTCTGTCTTTAGACTCTGGATCTCCACTGCACCATAATCAAAGACATTAGTTACAACAAATGGACCAATCCAACGAGAACATAATTTACCTAGAAATAACTTCAATTTGGAGTGATACAGTAGAACTTTTTGTCCACATTCAAACGTCTTCCTAGAGATCTGTTGGTCATGAAAAATTTTATTTTTCTCCTTATAAATTATCGCATTCTCATAGGCTTCATTGCGAATCTCCTCCAACTCCTGTAACTGTAACTTCCTTTGAATTCCGCCCTCCTCGATATCCATATTACATTGCTTAACCGCCCAAAATGCTTTATGCTCGAACTCCACTGGAAGATGGCAAGGCTTACCAAATACCAACTTATAGGGAGACATCCCTATAGGTGTCTTGTAAGCAGTCCTGTATGCCCACAAAGCATCTTCCAACCTTGAGCTCCAGTCCTTCCTATCAGGGCGGACCATCTTTTCCAAAATAGACTTTATTTCCCTATTCGAGACTTCAGCCTGGCCATTGGTCTGTGGATGGTAGGAAGTGGAAACCTTATGAAGTACACCATATCTCCTGAACAAAGCAGCAATTGTCTTGTTGCAAAAATGCGTCCCCCTATCACTCACAACTGCCCGTGGCATTCCAAATCGCACAAAAATGTTAGACTTGATGAAATCTGCAACCACCTTAGAATCATTAGTGCGGGTGACTTTTGCTTCCACCCACTTCGAGACATAATCCACTGCTAGTAAAATGTATAAAAATCCACAAGAATTTGGAAAGGGACCTATGAAATCTATACCCCAAGTATCAAAAATTTCAATGAAAAGCATGGGCACCTGTGGCAGTTGATCCCTTCGGGATAAATTGCCTACCCTCTGACATTTATCACACGT